TCGAATTCGAAGGATTTGAAAATTGTCCTAAATTTCTAAAGAAAATCTTGTTAAGGTGGTTGAGATGCAAACCATTCAATCATCCCCTTCTCGTAAGTGGATGATTGAACTTCTTTGAAGCAAAACAGATGAGAACAATATGTTCAGTCTCTCTATATCCCTAACAACTTCTATGTCCTAATTTGTTTATATCATCTTGTGTTTCTCAGCTACTGAGCTTCATAACCTTTGCAGTAAGCGATTTAGATGCGGCGATCAGTACCATCTATTGTACCCTTTCTGGATTCCTGGCAGAGAAGAATGTGGCCACCCTGACTTCAAGCTCGAATGCAACACAAGTTTCGCTGAGCTTAATATCGCCTCTGTCAAGTTCAGAATATTAGAGGCGAACTATACCACTCGTATTGTAAGACTCGCCAGATCTGATTATCTAGGCGATCTTTGTCCCCAAGATCCTTCAAATGAGCCATTCGACAAAAACGTCCTTCTATTTACACCTAACACCGAGCTGCTAACATTGTTTTACGACTGCCGAGACTTTTCATTCTCAACGGTCGTTTACGATCCTACGTACTTCAGTGAGCTTGGTTGTGATGGTGTGGTCGGAAGAAGTTACTATGTGACGAGAAACCTCTCGTCCTCTTTGCTTGACGGGGCTAGAGACCTTTTAAACATCCTCAGTGTATTGTGCTTAAGAAACGTCAGTATTCCCGCGTCTGGATTGGCATTGGAGACACTGCAAAAATATCCGACTCCGTATAATCTGAAGAAGGCTCTTGAACAAGGTTTCGAGCTTGGAGTTACCCGAGACTGTTTCTTGTGCACAGACTCTGGTGGTGCTTGTGGCTATAATCATAAATCAAGTGGATTTGTCTGCTATTGTAACAATGGGCCTTATGACCGGATTTGCGGTCCTGGAAAGTGGAGCCATGGTAAACTATTGTCTTCTTTGAGTTTTTTCCTTATTGTAAAACTGCACCATGCTGACAAATTACTTTTTCAATGGCTCTACAGGGACTTTCATAAAAATTATTACAGGTTAGTTTCCTGGCTAGATAGATATCAAACTGTTATTGATCATCCTACGAAAAACGGGTTATAAATTTATCGTTTTTCTCTGTTTTTCTAGGTTCTAGTTTACTAGCAGCTGTTCTTGGCCTCCTGATCATATCCACATTGTTTCTCCGAAAGAGAAAAGTTTCTCATGATCGTAGAAAGCAGAATCTAAAGGCCCTTATTCCACTGAATTACTATAGTTACGCACAAGTGAAACTAATTACAAAGTCATTCGCGGAAGTGGTTGGAGAAGGAGGATTTGGAACGGTCTATAGAGGAACCCTTTCTGATGGCCGTATGGTTGCAGTGAAGGTCTTGAAAGACTCAAAGGGCAATGAGGACGACTTCATTAACGAAGTTGCGAGCATGAGCAAAACTTCTCATGTCAACATTGTTTCTTTGCTTGGATTCTGCTTCGAAGGTTCCAAGAGAGCAATTATATATGAATTTTTGGAAAATGGATCTCTCGATCAATTAATCTCAAGCAACACCTCAATGAACATGGATTGGCTAGCACTGTATGGTATCGCGCTAGGTGTTGCTCGTGGCCTAGAGTACTTGCACTATGGCTGCAAAACAAGGATCGTACATTTCGATATTAAACCTTCGAATGTGCTATTGGATAAGAATCTTTGTCCCAAACTGTCCGATTTTGGCCTTGCTAAACTCTGCGAGAAGAAAGAGAGCATCATGTCGCTGCTAGACACGAGAGGGACAATAGGGTACATTGCACCAGAGATGATTTCAAGAGTTTACGGGACTGTGTCTCACAAGTCAGATGTATACAGCTATGGAATGTTAGTCCTCGAAATGATAGGAGCAAGGAACAACACATCCACAGGAAATTCTACATGAAACCCAAGCTCAATGTACTTTCCAGAATGGATCTATAGAGATCTTGAGAAGGGAGATGGTGGTAGGCCTATCGAAAATGGAATCAGCAGCGAAGAAGAGGAGATATCGAAAAAGATGACATTGGTTGGGTTGTGGTGTATTCAGTCCTCCCCATCAAACCGTCCACCGATGAACAGAGTAGTAGAGATGATGGAAGGAAGCCTTGAAGCTCTTGAAGTGCCTCCGAGGCCTATCTTGCAACAAATTTCAGCAGCGCCATTTCAAGAATCTTCTTTCCTCTCGGAGGACATTTCTATTGATACAAAGTATATAAC